ACTAGATTAAGGGTTTTTTCAAAATCTTAGTTACCTACCAAGCACAGTAGCTAAGCTTACAAGAATATTAGAAGGACTTAATATTTGTTAGAATGCTAAGATTTTTAGAGTTGATATTTACTTTGGTTCTATAGAGGCTCTTTTCATCATTGAAAGCAGTTTCTCCAATTTCCACCCTCTCTCTGCAATTATTAGGAATATCAAGAATTTTATCATAAGGAATCAAGTAATCACCTTAGATTACATTTATAGAGAAGCTAATTGATGCAATGATTTTCTAGCCCACAAAGCTTCTAAATAAAATTTTGATATCACTTTATTTGATAGTCCGCTAGTTGATTATAGAATCCTTATAGCTTTAAATATGATTTGATTTAGGCCTACTTGCACGATTTTTATTATGGCCTTATATTTAAAAAAAAAACCAACCACAATGGATCAAAAACAAAAAGTCCAGGCAATACTATCTCACAGTGATTCTTCAAGAATTATTTAGACAAACTGTGAACAACGTATTTTGTCCGAGCACTTTTTTTAAAAGTTAATAATAAATAACCAAAAAAATAATAAAAAAATAAAAATAAAATTTAATCCTTTTTAGGATTATATTTTCAAAACAAAAAAAACACTTTAATTAATAGGGTTTAATATTATAATCTGCTGATTAGGATTTTATTTCTTTAGCTCATAAGAAAAAAAAACTAAAAATATAATAAATATGAAAAAATAAAAATTCAATCCTTTAAGGATTATTTTTTTTAAAAATATATATATATAAATAAACAACTAAAAATTGTGATTAAATATATAATATATTTATATATACATGTGTGTGTATGTGTGTGTGTTTGTGTGTGTGTAAACCGAAGGCTAAACGTTGGAACACGTGTGTGTGTGTTCACTGAAGGTTAAACGCTGGAACCAGCGTTTAACCATCCATTATAGTCCTTCATTGCAGAAACACCAGACAAGCGAAGGAAGCATACACACATAACCAAAAGACACAAGCCTTTTCAGCAGGATCAGAGGAGATGTGACAAAACAAAAAAAAGAAGGAAGCACACACACAGACGCGAGATCAGACAGACACAGAGAACACACACACACGCGAGACAGACCGGACAGACACAAAGAACACACGAACAGCAGGAACACAGCAAAAGTTAGAGGCAGAGTAAGAGGGCACACGTGCGAAAAAGAAGAGAGAGTAGCAGCAGAAAAAAAGAAAAAAAACAGAGGCTAACGTTTGCACATGAAACACGCGACGGGAGACGTTGAGAGCTACTGTAAAAAAATGAAATGTAGAGTAGAGAAAAAGGAGGAAGCACCACTCATGCAAAAAAGCCAGAAATGAGGGAGCTTTCGGCACACGCATGCACAGAAAACAACGCGCAGAAAAATAGAGCATTAAAAGAAAAGGCAGAAAAGGAAGAAAAGAGGAGACCGAGAGGGAGAGACCTAGAGTATAAAAATGTAAAAAACAAGAGCACCGGGAGGGGAGAAAAAGAAGAAGAAAACAGGGGCAGGGGAACGAACAAAAAGAGGAGAAGAGAGGGAGAAGAAAAGAAGAAGAAAACAAAGCTAGAGGAGGACGGAGAGAGTTGGGAACGAGAAACAGAGACCAGAGCTGACCGAAAGAGAAACATTCCATTTCAGAAGCGTGACTGGGAGCTAACTAGTCGTTTCCATCGGCGAAAAGCTGCAGAGCAAAGTTGGAGCTCCTTACCTTAACGAAGATCTTCACTAACCAGACAAGTACGCCGAGGACAGCAAAGTTCAAGAGGGAAAGAGAATGAGAGTGATATCCGCCTGAGTTTCACATCATCACAAGGATAGCAGCAGACATTTGAGAAAGGTTAATAACTTCCTGACCTTTTACATGTACAAATTTGAGCGTTAGGTTTACTCCCGTTTTCAGTTTCAGAATGTTTGTTTGGGGCGTGTGTGAAGGAGAATTTTAATCAACTTGTGTTAAAATTTATTTTCAATATTTTAATTATATATAGAATTTTATTTTAAACATGTTAGAAGAATAATATATTAGATCCTTGATGATACTTTCTTGTATTTGAAATAAAGAATTTTGGAAGTTTTGAAAGTTTACATATGGATAGGGAATATTTAAGAAAATACTTGAAAAGAAAATAGTTTTATATCACTTTGTTTTTTTTTCTCTAAATTATGTTGCATACCTTAAATATGCTCTAACATGTATTTCTATGCTTTTACAAATGAGGTTGATTTAGTTATAATATTTTTCGCATGATGTTTTTTTTTATTCTAACATTTTGAACAAAAATTTTATTGTTGAGCTAAGTGATAAGTAGATTCAAGTTTGTCTTCTAACTTAAATTTCTTTATTTCTCAAAGTCATACATTATTTTGTGTTTAATTTCCATTTAATAATAATTGATTAATTCTTGAAGATAATTTTGATTTTGCATGACATCATTTACATATGGAGATTTTAAATGTGTGGTTTAATGAAGGAGTTTGTTCCTATTATTTCACATATATAATCAATTAAAACATTTGAATGATATCATGAGAGATTTTAAAAAAAAATTTTCATAGATATTCAGCTTAATCGCCTCATTGTGAAGATAATAAGTCCTTGCAAATGTCGTGGTCATTAACTCACAAAATAAATAAATAAATAAATTTTGTAAATAAAATTATAAATTTTTTATAATATAATTAATTAATTAAATTAATGCATTAAATCTTTTGGTCATATGAGATTTTGAATATCCATAGACCTCTAGAATAATCATCTTACCGTGAAAGTCAATAAGACTTCGTAGGTATAGTGATTAAGATTTTTTATAAAAAAAATGCAAATTATATAATTACATATTAAAATATTTTTCTTAAATATATAATATTTAATCCTTTATGGTGTGAGGATTTTGAATCCCCGCAGATATTTAGGATAATCGTATTACCGTAAAAGCTAATAAGGCTTTGCAGGTATGATGATTAAAATTCTCTAAAATATATATATATATATATATGCATGCTTGAATAAATTATTATTAACATATAAATAAATTTAATTCTTTTATTGTGAGAGATTTTAAAATCTCCGTAGATATTTAGAATAATTGTATTATCGTGTGAGCCAATAAGGCTCTGCAGGTATAACAATTAAATGTTCAATCAAAAAATAGAAATAAAAAATAATTTTAAAACTCTTTTCTTTATTTCAAAAAAATCAAAAATTGAGAAAATGATTGAAATTAAATCACTTTTTCCAATCTAAAACACACATACCGAAATTTCAGAATTGTTTTATTTGCAAAATGGTAAATTATTTCTAATTAATTTCTCTTCAAAAAATATTTTCACCAACAACTTATAAAGCCCGAATTACGTGGACTTTGATCCCATCACAGGGTACGTAGACCTCAGAGTCAGATTCTGAGTTAAGTCCTCCCCGTAAATAAATAAATATTTCTCACTTAATTCTTATCATTTTTATATCAAACACATGAATATAAAAGGGATAATTAGAATAATTTTAAAACCATATTAATATAGCACAACAAACTTCGGGTAACCGTTCTGACGAACGGGTGTTGTGGGGTGCCTAACACCTTCCCCACACTCAACCGACTCCCGAATCTGTTCTCTATTTTTGCAGACCACCCTTATCCTCCTTTAAATGGTTTCCCGAGATTTCCCTTAAAATTTTGGTGACGACTCTCATTTTTTTCGGTCTTCCTTCTGAAAGCCGGAACCTCCGCTCTCACATCGTCCACGTTGCATTTCCGAGTGCGACACAAACACAAAGCATATTTTCTAACATTCTCCATTCATTTCACGTGTGACTATTTTGGCCTGATCATTTCACATGGGACACTGAAGGAAAAGGCTGCATTTTAAGCTTTCCATTTCATGCGAGGCTAGGCTCTTTATTCACTGCATTTTCCTTTCTGCTTCCATCTCATTCTAGATTGAGAAAATTATTGTCAGATGTCACACAAGCAATCTAAATTTAAAAAAAAAAAAATCATGACACCATAAAATTACTTTAAAATCCCATTCCTTTGCTAAAATTATCAATTCGTTATATTAAAATTGTTAATTAGCGCTGAATAGTTGTTAGTAGAGTTGTTCAGTTGACAGCTAAACAACAATAATTAAAAATTTTTAATAATAATTGACAATTATCATTAAAGACATGAACTTCAGAACCATTTGTAATTTCTTAAAATTTCCTCTATTGTGTGAGGCTTGACAGTGATTTTCCCTTCTAGATTTATCTGACCAACGAGTCATTGTATTAGCAACATTTGATTGATGTTAATGACACAGAGACTATAAACGATTAATGTTCATGACCAAAAGAATGAAAAAAAAGAAGGCAAAATGGAACTACCAGCTACACACCGTTAATTGACATTTTCAATTTTTGTTCCCTACTACTCTATTCTTCACGAACAGGGTCTTCAACATCCTTTTTTTCTTTTTTGGGTAAATACTTCTATATACTTTTACAAGTACATGAAAACTGCCAGGAACATGACTCTGGAACTCATGAAAACCATTGGCATTTGGCCTGGCATTATTTTTAGCATCATTTGCTTTCCCCCTTTCGTTTTCATTCTCATGTTAATTGCACTAAAGAAAATATTATCAACTAAAATTAGCATGAATGATAAAAAATTATTACTTAAACAAGTAATTAGAGATTTAATTTTAAACCCCAGCTCATGTATGCAGCTATTTAATTGGAAGAGAATTGGCCATTACTTACTGGGCAAAATTTACTTCTTATGTTTTAAAAAAAATGATAGTTAAGTCCCAAAAAGTTAATAACAAAAAAATACCCTACAAATTTTTAAAAAAATAAATTATAAATATCAATTTAGATAGTTATAAACATGTTATTACAATCTAAAAGTTACACTTAATACTTAAATACTCATTTTCAGTTGAAGCTCCTATTTGCAATTATTTATATTGATATTTTCAACTCATTTTTCAACATATGATATTAACTTAATGTTCTGGGACTTTCGCCATGGTTGAAATGACCGAAATACAATTTCGATAGTCAACCACAATTGAGGTAGGAGTGATAGTACACCAAGCTCTAAGCAACCCAGTGAGTCAAAATTTCTCAACACAAGCAGATTGTTGATCTGTTATGTCAGAGCCCTGACTTCCTTTAAAGGAATGATTCCATACAATTACCTGATACTAGGCCTTGACAAGCTGGTTTTGGTCCCAATGTTATGATGATTAGTGATGCATTACGTAGATTTAATATATTACACACAATTCAAGTTCAAACATCATCCATTGTTTACTTCATCAATCTGTTGGAGTCTGACATGTGGACAAGGTATTTCTGGTTCCCCTCTGGTCCACAAATTCCTCAGATCTCCTCTCCTCCTTCCCAATGTCAAAAAGGTCCCTGCATTGATATGTGAAACTATGAGCATACCATATGATTCATAATTACTCTCTTTATCTAAAATTATATGACAACTTTGGAAGTATTTTATTGTCTCAAAATACAAGACAATTTGATAAAAAATATGATTCCATTAATAATGTTTTTCTAATATTACCCTTCAAGTGAAAAAAATAAAATAAAATGATTAAGTGTATAGATTTAAAATTATATTAAATGAAGGGCATTTTTAAAAATTTATAATTTTTGTTTTGAAAAATTAAATTTGTAAAGTGTCATCATTGTGCTTTATTGATATATGTAATAGTGTCTTAAATTGACTTATATTTGGGACAGAGTGAGTGCAAAAGCCAAATCTGTTCAGCAATTTCATAAATGAATGTAGATCCAAAACTATTTATTCTACCAAGAGTGAATGGAACAATATAGAGCAGAGCTGGTTGGCCATGTCCGTCCATCAAGTTCAGTGCCACATAAGTAGTCAGTAGACCTGCCAATTTGCACAGCGAATCAATCATCAAATAAGAAAACAATAATTTGTTTCCAATATTTGAAAATCAGTTATTCAAGTCAATAATAGTCAAGCGAGGTGGGTCCAGCAATTCTCACCAAAGCCATATGCAAACATTGCCCACAAGAAGTATCCACCTCGGAGGCTCCTGTTTGCCAGCCAATCATACCTGCAAGAATGGCCCATAAAGCCAGTGATCACTACCTGTTTTTTATCCATAGACTTTTCAGACCGGTCAAGGCACTGATTCAATGATTAATGGTCAAAATCGCAGTCAAACCATAATCAAACTGATTATAAACAAAGTATTTTATTTCAGTCAAGACACCAATTTAACATTTTATTGGTTCAACCAGATTGGTTGACCTGAATTTCTATACTATGTAAAAACCATTCATATTGATGAATAGAGTGCCTACTCTGCACAGATTAGGCACATAGGCATTCCAACCCATTTAGGAGAAGAGTGTGCTATATGTTTACATCCGGTGGTTTGTAAGAGATTCAATGAAGACTTTGATAGTATCAAGTGACAGTTCATGTGCCTTTATTTTGAAGGTTCAAGTAGAAGCTCATTTACTTATCTTCGAATCTCGTCTTTTGCTATTGATGATGGTGAACCCCTTTCCATATCAACTGAAGATATAATTATTGGGCTTTTACATATTAATGGGAGGGGATCATGGAGGTATTTGTGCAAACAGATGTAATCCATGCAATTGCAGTAATTGTAAAGAAAGAATTTACGGATATAAGTACACAAAAGAAATAGAACCTTTTTTTTCCCGGTAATTACAATGCAGGAAAAGGACCTGTTAAGAAAACAACAACAATCCATTTCCTTCCTTTCAAGGTTAGCCTACTCTCAAAGTAAAATTTCTGAAAATGCGCAGAAGACATGTCAGTTTTCAATTCATAATATTTGGGCATTGTTGTGCGTGCGCATATTTTTGTTATGGCCATGGCATTGTTGTGTGTTACAATCAATTAATTTCAAGATTAAAATGAGTTTTAAACAGACTGCAGTTCTTCTTAATAGTACAAGTCATTAGCCATCATTATACATGGGAATTAGGGGTAATTAGGAGAATTTGGGCTAAAGTGGTAGTTTGGGTATTTGGTTATATTCTTTATAAATAGGGTCTTAACCTTAAGAATGCAATGGGATCTTGTGAATGAAATTACTATTTGCTGTCTCTATTTCCTTTTTATATCTATTATTTGAGACGTGAATTAGGAATAATAAGGGTGATTAGGGAAATAAAGACAGAAAATAGTAGTTTCATTCACAAGACCCCATTACATTCCATAAGACCCTATTTATAGAGAATATAGCCAAACACCAAAACTACCCTTTTATGCCAAATTCCCCTACTTATCCCTGTTATTCCTAATTCCCATGTATCACATCTAGTGTAGATCGACGTTGATGATGAGATATGCTTGAAATTTGCAACAGAAAAGGGAGATTTGGATTTTCTCCATACCCTCCCTCAACACATTTCTCCATACTTAATATGATCCGTCAGTATTAATTATTTATTTGGTTTAATGGTATAAGATTACTAATTATGGCATTAGAATAAATATATTATTTATTATGATCACTTGAAATGCTTTTAAAAATAAGATCATAATGTTTCTTTATGATATTTATTAAATGAATAACATATTTATTTAAATGCCATAACTAGCAATCTTATACCATTAAATCAAACAAATAATTAAATGGATGGATGTGATGGAGCATGAGGTAGGAATTAAAAGAGGGTATGAAGAGAATCCAAATCCAACTAGGGAGGAGGTATAACCTGAGTGCGAATGCTACTAGTGTTCCTGGCAAAAGGATGTCTCCAAATCCTATTATGCTGTAACCGCCCCATGGATCAAATATGCGTGGGAACTTCAGGAGCATTGGAATACCATCTTCTCCACTTTTATCTCCTCGAGCTACCTATTGAAAGTAATATAAACAACTCAAATTACTATGCCATTATGGTATTAGTGATTGTCACAATTTAGAGTAAATAAGAGTTAGAAGACTAACCACAATCATCACACTTTCACTGAACAACTTCTTGGACACAAACACCCAAAAGAGGTCATACAGAAAGGCACAACCAAGAAGAACTGTGCCAACCTAGTTCATAAAACAATCAAGCGTAGAAATTAGAATTTTATTTTCCATCAAGGAACATTTTATATACCCTAAAAAAATCAACACATTAGGACGAGTAAGATGTATTAGTATTGATTAACAATTACAAAGAAAACAGCATTCATCTTAACATTTTGGTCCTGTATAGCTCAATACCATTGCGTTATCTCCTAAACTCCCATCTTCAATATAGGACAAGCTATCTTCAGTTATGTCAACAAGCACAACATTTAACCAGTGTTTATCTCAATATCGGTTCAAACACTTGACATGTGGGAAGATCATTATCCTCAAATCTAACATGACAGTCGAACATTGACTTTAACCAGTGTTTATAACAACAAAATATTAATTACAAGCCAGACTGGTAAATGATGATAAGGCATTCTAATTAAAACAAAGGAAGATTAAATATGAAAAACCTTAGTTTCAGTCTTCGCACATTACTTGAATCAATCGACTGAGAGGAAGACAATAAAGAAACAATATCATATCCTCATATATTTCATACTAACTCTACTTTGCCTATTTAACTTTCTTGATTGACCATACGAACAGGTCTTGAGAAATAGAAACAACAAAACACCAGATACATAGAGCAAATAAATGCATGGCTAGCTTCACTGATATTTAGAATAAATGTATCTCTAAAATTGCCAAAACATCTAGTTCACATCAACATGCATATCCAAAGATGTTACTTAAAAGCATGAAGTTCAGGAATGGCCACAGCTCAGGGGTAAGTTTGAGCTCAATTATTACCTTGAGGTTAGGTATATGAACAATCTGGAGAACCGCAATTATTAGTGCAATGCCCTGTTTGTACAACCAAGGAAAGAAAAGAGGCAATTAAACGAAAGCCATAGTAAAGACAAAGATGATAGCTTCTCAACTCTGTATCAACAATTGGAAGAAACTCAATATTATATATATATATATATGGTACTAAAAGAAATTCTGGTCCACAAGTAAATAAAAAAAGTGAGAAAAGTTAAACATCAATTGTTCATTATCTGCAAGATGACTGACGAGGGGGAATATGACGGGGAATAACTGCTAGAGAAGAGAAGTTTCCTTACAAGTATATCTTGGCCTATCCAGGCAAAAGAGACATTGCGATAAACTGCCCAGAGAACAGCATATGCTATGCAGAATGGAGAAATAGCCAATGTCAGGTATGAGATAGCTCCAAACAAAGGTACTTTGATATATGACTCGCTAGCATGTTTGAACCACCTGAATGGGAAACAAAAGGTAAAAATTGGAAACAAGCAGTACTAAAGTGGAGGATTAAATTAAAAGAACATGTAATTTAGAAGATGAAAAAGCATTCATGAACTGATGCTTCTAACATAAGAGCAAAGCATTCTCAACTTTCATATTCACAATCTCTCTCACAATAGCAAGTAAACCCTTTAATAATTTATCACTCCTTTAACAATTAATCATTTCAATTTTAAAATACTGATATGACACTTCTTTGGTTCAAAATGCAGTAAGACCATCCACTTTTGATGTCATTCTGCATATGATAATAAGAACTGCAATCCTACTCCATGATTGTTTACTTCATGCAATATTATCCCACTCCCTGCATATCATAAAATTAAATACCGATTGGACTAAATTCAGCAAAGAATTGAATAAGTTTGCAAGTCACATAGGAAACCAATTCCCAGCAATTCAGTCCTGTTCATAGGAATTGTCTTCAGTCAAAAATATACCATCTGACCTTATGTCAAAATAAATGAGTAATATTTTTCATTTATTCTTTTTCACATGAAATCTTCAGCTCATTAACAGGCCATGCTTCATTATTCAGAGGTCAATCTTGGTTTTCCTAGGTAAAATCATCTTATATTAAATGAAGAAATGTACAAAGTCCATATGATATGGGGAAAACAAGGCCAAAATGAGGAGGAAAAAAAGGTAGGCAGCACCATGAACATGTCCACCCAGATGAAATTAACAAATAGAACTTCATCTGGAAAAAGGACATTAATTCTCTATGCAACAAAAAGTCAACTTTTCAGATAAAGACACAGGAATTGTTTCCAAAATTAAAGCCCAGTATATTACTTTCTGGATGCTAAGATTGAAGAAACAATTGAGAGCCATAGGCTAGATAACAAGTTATCACACCTTGACAATAAAGCGGCCAAGCAAGTTTGCAAGCCCTGCGGATACAAGAAACTATGAGGTTAGAGATGATTAGGAGAAGGACATCAAGGATATAGCAGGCAACTAAAGTGCACTCATAAATTACATGGATATAACATGCAAATACGGAATTTCTTTTCATATAGAAGAATACTTTTGGAACATTAAACTGATTTTGAAAGCAGGGATGTTATGTACCTCAATCCCACCAATACAGAAGAGAACAACCAAGACTTCAATGAACCATGATGACATGAGTTTGTATAGCATAAACAGGAAACATGAAGCAACCACTACAAAAAGAACAGCAGTTTTTGCATTTATATACACAACTCCACTGACACCCCGTTCTTCAGTGTTTGGGATTTCATCTGCTGCATCCTAGGGAAAAAAAATTGTTGTTAAGTAGTTAGATCAGCAACAGTATATGGAAAAGAGAAAGACTGAAGTTATATGAAAACATAACTGACCTTTAGTAGCTTGTCCTGATCAATAGCTGCTTCTCTGACCCTCCATGCTGACCAACAAGATGCACATAGTATGGTACCAACTGCCATCAACCATAGAAATACTTCTGCTATGTCAACAGCTGGTCGAGGTGGAGAGTATAGCTGCACGGACACTGTAGAAAGGAAAAGGTTTAGAAAGCTTTCTGTACATTATTCTGAGAATCCATCTTCCCACTCCCACAGGAGGTTAAAAGAGGAAACAGAAATAGCATTAGATACAAAGATTTTGCATGTGAAGATGCCAAAAGCATACTATCACCATCCAAAATGAAAACTAAAAAAAATCCTCACCATATGAAGTAGTCATCAGCATTTTCTCCAACCTTGTACCTGCATCTTGTGGGAGCATTACAGCGGGTATGTGTATATCTAAATCAGTTTCATCTGGTTCACAAACCATCTTGTAAAGCTCTGCATACAACAGAAAAAATTTTGATAAAATAATTAATGAAAATAAACTGTGGGCCTCAGCATTTTCATCAGAATTGAAGTTTAATATTTTAAATATTTTTAAAATGTTTTAACTTCATTTAAGAAGACAATGGATTGCTTAGAGCATTTGGGATACAAGTTCTTTTCTCTGTGAGCTCAGGGGAAAGAAAGTGATAAGGGTCCAAGTCAGCATAACAGACCCCTAATGACTTATCAACGCAGAAAGAGGAGGAAGATAACAGAAACTGATGCTGTCATGCAGATTATGAGGGATTTATCTGATTTAAATTAATTATTTGCTGTTATTTTAATTAACTGTGGTTTTATTTTGTTGTTAGTAGCTGAATAATAGGACCTCAACACTGTTAGTGAGGTACCAACACACTAGTCAGTTATTCCCTGATTTTTAGGCTATTATTCTGCATTATTTGATTTGTTTAGTTGTAAATTCTATTATAAATATCCTAGCTTCTGCAACAACATGATATCATTGAGAAATAAACCCTATTTTCCCTTGGAGATTCTCCTATTTGGCCATTAAGTTCATTAGAGTGAGAGTCTTGCTCTAGTTAATTTAATAGAGTTTTCCCCTTTCTTCATATTTGTCCTAAGCTTCTACCAAATTGGTATCCAAGCCTCATTTGATCAATATGGTGACCACACACTCCAAAAATAAAACTGACCTTGCCAACTCCTTTAACAACCCACCCTATGGTCAACCTAATGAAAACCCGTTTGCATCCGACCCTTTAGCCATCATTGCCTCCAGACTAGAAACACTCGACTTATTACAAGAGAAGGTTGAGGCACTTGAGGTATTTACTAGCAAAGGTAAAAGACCAGAGGGAAGCTATCATAGACGCTCACACTAGGACGAAGACAATGATGAAGAGTCAGACTATAGAAGAGGTCCATGTCCACCACACACCAAAATTGAATTTCCAAAATTCAATGGAGATGACCCACGTGGTTGGATTCTAAAGGCTAAGAAATATTTCAGGTATTATCAGACATTGGAAGACTCAGGTTCATGTGGGTTCCATGTATTTAGAAGGAGGTGCTTTGAATTTATTCTCATGGATAAATTTAAAGTGCACCTTGGTTTATTTATGAGTTAGTTAGAACACTATGGTCTTTTAGAGCATCAAAATTCTAATGAACACCTTGCCACCATTAAGCAGACCAGATCAGTGTGAGAATATCGTTAGGAATTTACTAAGCGAGTCACACAAGTTCATCATTGGCCAGAGCACTGCCTCTTAGGCATCTTTTTCGGAGGTCTCAAAGATGACTTGAAATCTGATGTGCATCTTTAGAAGCCTCGCACAGTGCATAAGGCCACTAGTTTAGCCCTAGAATTTGAGAAAAAGGCACAACTGCATCATAGGCCCAAGCCCAACTCTTCTTTGACCCAAACTCAGTTCACTAATGCCTCCAGCATGCTCGCACCTAACCAACAGGGTTTTGCCACAGCTTTCTTGCCAAATGCGATCAAGAGCTATGTCGCGTCTTCTTTGATTTTGCAACCAGCTAACACCACCACGCCATGCCATTTTCTCTCAAACACCGAACAGTAGCACTACAAGGATAAGGAACTTTGTTTTCATTGTGGGAAGCTCTTTCTGCCCGGGCACCACTGCAAGTCAACTTCTCTCTCACTCATGGAGATTGATGAAGATGGGCAACACATTTCAAAGACCATCGAAGATTTACTAGCAACAGAGGGCGAGATTTCTAAGGTAGCTAAGATATCTTTTAGCGATATTTGGTAATTCAACAACTACCACCATGAAGCTTAGTGGGTTGGTTCAAACCTATCACATGTTGCTCTTAGTGGATAGTGGCTCCACACATAATTTCATCTCTGACTCCTTGGTGGAAGAAATGAGTATAATCACATAGTCTATGTCTACCTTTGGGTTCAAATTGGAGATACCCGCGTCATTTGATGCACTAAGGTGTGCAAAGATGTTGAAGTAAAATTACTAGGTTTGTCACTTAAACACGATTTTTTCCCCTTTTCTCTTGCCGGCACTGATTTAGTTCTGGGAATCAAATGGTTGGCCTCGCTAAACACAATTCAAGCTAACTGGAATGAGATGTTTTTAATTTTCTACGTTGATGGCAAGAGGAATAAGCTTCAAGGAGTACTTCCAACCTTAAACTAGAAAGCTAGTCTTCATTCCATGTTTTCTACTGAACTCATGTTAGGTCTCCCAATGCCAAGTCATTAGATGTGGACTAGCTCATGGTTGAATTTGATGGTTTGTCTGCTAACCAACCACTCTGCCACCTTTCAGAGATCACTTTCATGCCATCCATCTTCTACATGGAGCTCAACCTCCTAACTTGTGTCCTTATCGCTATCCTTATTTCTAGAAGACTGAGATTGAGCAGAAGGTGGATGAATTATTATAGAAAGGTTTCACACAACCGAATTCAAGCCCTTTCGCCAGTCTGACTTTATTAGTAAAGAAAAACGATGACTCTTGGAGGTTTTGTGTGGACTACAAGACCTTGAACTAGATCATGGTCCCAAACAAATACTCGATTCCCAACATTGATGAACTTACTAGATGAGTTACACATAGCAACTTATTTTTCGAAGATTGACCTCTGCTCCGGGTATTACCAAATACGAGTCTGGCCAGCTAATATTTATAAAACAGCATTTTGAGCTTAAAGCAGACAATATGAATTCATCATAATGCCCTTCAAACTGAGAAACGCACTAGCAACTTTTCAAGCAGCATGAATGATCTTTTCCATCCTTCTCTTCAAAAATTTGTGTTGGTCTTTAATGACATCCTATTTTACAATCCCACTCCAAATAGCATGAAGATCACCTCCGATTGGTGTTTACTACTTTGTAGCAACAATCGTATTATGTCAACTTCAAGAATTGTGAGTTTAGGCAGACTCGTGTGTCCTTCTTAGGAGATAAAGTTTTAGCACAGGGAGTGGAAACGAACTTTGAAAAGATCAGTACCATAAGTGAATGGCTAGTACCTACAAATGTTATTGAGCTTTGAGGCTTTCTTCGGCTCACCAGTATTACCGGAGGCTTTTCAAGAACTATGGCATTATTGCTCATCCCCTTACTAAATTAACTAAGAAGAATGCTTTTTGCTGGACCCCGAAAGCTCAAAGAGCTTTTGAAAAGCTTAAGCTTTATCTTATTACAGCCCCTGTTTTAAAACTTCTTGAGTTCACAAAGGAGTTTGTTGTAGAGTGTGATGCTTCAATGGAAGGTGTAGGGGCTATCCTCATGCAGTAGAACCATCCCATTGCCTTTTATAACAAGGGGTTATCTTTCTCTAACAAGTTTCAGTCTACTTATGATAGGTAATTGTTAGCTTTAGTGTCAGCACTTCGAAAATGGTGTCATTATTTGTTAGGAAGGCATTTTACAGTAAAAACTGATCATAGCAGCTAAAAAAATCTGTTGCAGCAAAGAACTTTAACAAATACTCAACAGTGTCTCATCCTTAAGCTCCTTCCATTTAAGTTCTCCATTGTGTACAAGGCTGGTAAGGAGAATATTGGGGCTGATGCACTATCTAGAAGGCCACAACATGCATATTTCTTAACATGGTGGTTCCTATGTCTTTGGATTTCTTAGAATTACAAGAGGCATTGACAACAGACTCTTTCACAGCTCTTATTGTTGCTGCTTTGAAAGAAAATCCCAGTTCTTGTCCTGGTAACAATCTGGTTGAGCACAATTATATTTTAATGGGCGCTTGGTCATTCCCCGGAGCTCCTTTCTTCACGCCAAGCTACTGCAAGAGGCACATGTGACACCTTCTAGGGGTCATGGTGGCTTCTTAAAAACTCTCAAGCATTCATTACTGGCCTAAAATGAAATATGATGTAAAAGCTTCGGTTGAACAATGCTTTACTTGCCCAAAGAACAAATATGAAACTCTATCTCTAGCTAGTCTGCTGCTACCTTTACCGGTTCCTAAGCATATTTGGGAGAATATCTCTCTTGATTTTATTCTTGGGTTACCCAAATCTGGTGGTTATGATACTATTCTTGTGGTAGTTGATAGGTTGAGTAAACATTATCATTTTATTCCCCTTTCACATCCCTATACTGCAAAATCAGTGGCTGCTCATTTTTGTGAGGAAATTGTTCAGTTGTAAGGCATGCCTAATTCTATTCTCTTAGATCGAGACCCACTTTTCTTGGGTTCTTTTTGGAAGGAGTTATTTAAGCTAAGTCAAACTTGCCTTTGGATGAGTGCTGTATACCACCCTTAGACTAATGGCTAGACCAAAGTGGTAAACTGTTGCCTTGAGACATATCTATGGTGTTTTACGCACGAGCAACCACGTTCTTGGAGTAAATTCTTATGTTGGGCTGAATTCTCATTCAACACTAGTTTCCATGTTTATGCCAATACTACCCCCTTTAAAGTTTTATAAGGTAGGAACCCGCCTCCACTTCGTCCTTTCATTAAGGGTGAAACTCACTGCTGGAATACAACATCTTGGGCCCATTAGGTTAAGCCCAAACTTGTTAGGGTTTAAGAATAATTAGGGTTGAAGAAGCACAAGTTTGCCGTCTTAGACTCTTATTTCTTTCCTATTATATCTTATTAATTAGACAAGATTCTAATTGATCTTGCAAATATCTCTTTGATTTTCATGTTGATTCTAGGGATTAACTGAAAGTGCTGTGGTTAAACCTAGATAAATACCCTAGTTGTGAATAGAATAATCATCTTTTTGCCCACATTCTTCATGTTATCAGTGCGTTTGACTCTTGACTTCCTGGGCCAATGCAATTCGGCAGTGTGAGTTCACATCCAAGATATCGCACATAGAAAGTGCATCAATTCGAAAACAACAAGCCATGACAAGTAGTGATGGCTTCCCACATGTTATGGTCACTCACAAATTGACTGAAAACAACTACCTACTATGGTCCCACAATATTCTGATGTTCATCCGAGGGAAAGGAAAGGAAAAGT